AATAAGTTTTTCCTCATGTTTAAGTGGAACCCACCATGCCCCTTGTTTTGAGGACTGATAGATGTTCAAGGAGGATCTGAAATTCATAGGTTGAGCCTGAAGCAATGGGCCTTGGTGCTTATGCAGCCTGTCGTGATTCCTGCAGGTGATGCCGCACAGGGGAAGGCTTCCTGTTGTACACGTGCAGTTCTAAGCTTAAGCTCTCGGAGGTAAAACTTGCCCATCTGTCTCTTTTTTTTTTTTTTCATTTGCTTTATTTTATTTCCCAACTTTCAAAAATTGTAGGGGAATTTCTTCGATGAATTTCAGATGGAAGGAGTAGCTGCAGAGCACAATGAAATCTATTTAGAGTTGGTGCCTGAGAACCTGTCGAGAGCCTTAAAAACTGCCCAGAGTGCTAAGGCAGTGAAGATCAAGTTGACTAACAAACACTGTCCCTGTCTCAGAGTTGCCGTGGAGCTAGTAAGTGCAACCATGCTTTTATCTTCATTATTAATAAGTGTTTCCCTAAAATCAAATAGAAGCTGTGCTGTAATTCTAGAAAACTAAATAAAGAAAAATCATGCCATTTCCCATTTCCCTAACCTTTCCTGCCATCGTGGCTGGTAGCACACAGAGCCAGCTTTATATTTTCCAAAAGGCAAGGAAGAGGTGGAGGAAGAAGGAAAGCTATGTGATTGAAATGCCTCTTGCTGATGTCTACTTTTCTCCATTCCTTCCTTCTCTTAATCTTCTGTGGGTTATTGGCTTCTGACTGAAGGCTTATAAATAACTAGATACCTCACAACCTCTTCCCTTTTCAAAAGGGAAATCTGCTCAATAACAGACCGACAGGAACCTGTGGAATACTGGATCTGAGTGTCTGCGGCGCTCAGTTACAGCATTGCCCACAGTGGTTCTGAAAAATTTGAATTCAGAATTCAAGTGGTGTTTTTGACTGCAAGAGCATCCTCTCTCTCTCTCAAGCCATCCTTGTCAAGCAGCAGTAGGATTGTGACACACGACATTCCTGTGGGAGTTATTCCCAGAAGATTATGGAATGACTTCAGAGAGCCCAGTGTGCCGGACTTTGATGTAAGCCTCTGTTTTTATGTTCCCTATGGAAAGGGGAGGTTGCAAGTGTAATGTTATTGCTGCCGAGTATACTACCAGTGGGCTTTGGGGAGGAGGTGAAAGGAAAAGGGAAGGCTGGAGGCTAGCAGGATGGGACACGGCTTCCATCATGGCAAGAGAGTCCAGAACCTGTGAAACGGAGCAGGTGGTTACCAGTTGTGGCTGTGATACCCAGGGTGGAGGAAGGGAGGAGCAAAGGACTGGCATGGCTTTGGGGAGGAGTGCCTCCAAACCACATGCGTTTAGACTGTTTCATCTGTTCAGCTACCAAGTGGCCAAAATAATCTGCTCTTTCTGGAATTCATGGTCTGCCTGGCAGAGTTAGACACATACGTGTTTCCTCCTCATTTTTACGTATCCTCTTTTAGCAGAGTTGCAAGGAAAGGTTTTTGTGCAAATGTGCTCCTGTTTGAGATTATGGGTGTCTATGACCTCCATAGCTAAGAGTCTTTAAATTCTGAAGACCTATGACTCAGTAGAAACGTGATCTATTTTATTCTGTTATTTCAGATTTACACTGATGCAATTCCAGAAATTATTACAGTACCACGGGAATCATGTTCTTTCCTTTTTGGCTATAGTAACTATTAACTGCTCAGTAAGATGGGTGTGGGTTCTTGTGAGAATCTGATCTGCAAAAACCTGTCTCCACTTTATTTTGAACACAGACTTGGGATGGTGTGTCTGAAGCAGTTGCTGGAGTGGTGGCCTGTTGGTATCCTGGTAGAGTTCTTCTGTTCCAGAGTCGTTTGCTGATTCCAGTTAAATATTGTGCTCCCTGCACTGAATAGATAACTGAGTCCAAGATAAGATAGAACGGAAGGGAGAAATAAGTGCATCACGTCCCAGTCACACGTGCAGTATTTGTGCAAATGCAGTTCTTATGTCTTTCCAGGTCAGTATTTACCTACCAGCGCTGAAAACAATGAAGAGTGTTGTGGAGAGAATGAAAAATCTCAGCAATTCCATTGTAAGTTACAGCACTTCAGACCTGTGTCCTACAGACCCTTTTTTATCTTGGACACAGCATGTTTCCCTGGTGCCTAAACTGGTGCCCCTGTGCTTTGTTTTGGGATAGGTCAGACATGAAACTAAAGGCACCTGAAGACTGTGTAAGGGCTAAAGAGAATGATGGGATTTATTTTAGGATTCACACTGAAGAGCTCGTCTTGGGCTTCCCAGAAAGTGGTGCTCCTTGTACTGAATCCTTGAAAGTACATGGCATTGATTGTATTGCAGGTGATTGAAGCAAACATGAGTGGAGAAATGAACCTGAAAATAGAAACTGACTTGGTGTCTGTAACAACGCATTTTAAAGATTTGGGAAATCCTCCTTGGGGTAAGTTTCTGTGTTTTTTGCCTCTTGTGTCTGTCTGATCTCATTACTTAAAAGTGGGATGCTGATAACAGTACTTGTCTTCTGTTAGTCCTTACAAAATAGCATCAAGGACTTTGAAGTCTTCAAATGAAACCTTAAAAAGAAAAGTGGCTGTGGTGGTTTTAACTTGTCCAGCAGCCACACACCACACAGCTGCTTGCTCACAACGTTCTTGTGCTTTTAGCATCGGAGGATGGATGTCAAAGTTCTGCTCAAGACAGGGATCCGGAGAGCATGGCCGAGGCACGCATAGACATCAAGAAGTTGCAGCAGCTGCTTGCAGGACAGCAGGTCAATCCCACAAAAGCCTTGTGCAGTAAGTTCAACAGCTCTGCTCGCAAACCCCAGTTAAGGAAGGATGTTTGCTGTACTTGTAGCCTCAGCAGAACAGCCTGTCTTCTGTTCTTTCTCTTTGAAACTTGATTATTTTTACTGTACCTGAGGACTTTTAGTATTTGTATTTTTAGTCAGTAAACTTCAGGCCTTAGGCATTTGGAGAAGAAAAAAACCAAAACATTAAAAATAAATTAAGCCAAGCCCTTTTATAAGTATTAAGTGGAATGCTCAGACTGATTAATCGTGGGTGTCTTCTTGTTGTCTTTGTTTTGAAGTTATTCTTTTTTATTACTATTTTAGGGTATTATTTTTTTGAAAGTCTTAAAACAAAACCCCCAGTTTCTATCAGAGAAACTGGGATTTGCTGACATGTTTGTTTTGTGCTTTTTTTTCTCAGATGCTTTCTTACATTCAGCACCAAATCGATGCTAATACCAAAATGCTTTTTATGCAGGTAGTGTTTCTAACCATGGAAATGATGTGTTCTTTCTAGCAGAAGCCTCTACAGGGTTTTATATCCTATTTTGATAACTCAGTCTGCTTTTCCTGAGTTACGGTTTAGTGCAGATGCTGAGAGTTGCCCAGGGAAGATTTAAATCATGGGTATGGCATTATAGATCTACACATTACATATTTCCTTTTGGTATCAGCTTCCATAGACTCTTTAGCAACGCTTCATAGATCCTCAAGGACTTAAATATTACAGGATGGTATGTCTGGTCATCCTTCTGTTAGAAGTGGTAGAAGCATTTTATTCTTTTGGTGTCATTCTGTAGACGATGTAATTTTGAATAATTTTTCTTGCTTTAAACTGAACCAGTGTTTTCTTCTCTTTACAGATATTGTAAGTAAAAGAGTTGTCCACTTCATCTTGCTCCACGAGGATGTTTCGCTTCAGTATTTCATTCCAGCGCTTGCCTGAATGTTTTGGAATCTCAGTCACTTCCCAGCCTGAGGCCTTTTCCACAAAGTCTGAAAACTTCCATGAGTTGCTGGAGTACTCTCGTGTGATATGCCATCTGAGCCATCAGGTGGACATTATTTCCATATTTATGAAACGATTCAAAATATCTCCTCATCCAGAAGGCCATTTTTGTGAAGCGTTACGTGCCATAAAAGACACAACGCTGGGGAGCTGGCGTATCTGAGCGTTGCAGGGAGCAAAACTGAAATTTGTGTCTGGTTTTGGGTTGTTTGAGCTGCGGGGAAGGCAAAGTATTTTTTTATTTATTTATTTTTTTCCTCGTTGACAAACACAAAGGTAGAATTGACCGCTGGTGCTGCTGCTGGGTGTGTTCAGTATTGAACAGCACCATGGGGGCAGTGAGGGTCTCTGTATAGAACGAGTATCATATGAGAACATGTGTGAACACAACAACTGGTGTCAAATAAAGGGCAAGTTATCTGCAGATCACACTTTTTCCCCTTTCCAGATGGGAGCATTGTACAACCTGTGTCGTCCTGGTGTCAGACGTGGTGAGGTTGCATCTAGGCTCTTAGCCAAGCAGCCAGGAGCAAGACTGAGTCTCACTGACGGGAGCACTGCCCCTCTTTCTACTTCGTGGTTGCCTCCTTGGGTCTTTTCCTCCTTGTTCCACATGCGATTGTATTTGTTATCCAGCCTGAGCCCATTTGGTGCTTTTTGTAACCATCCAAAGCAGACTTCTGTCTCACAAGTGCAACATTTGACAACGCTTACCAAAACTTCAGACCTATTTCACATTGTTTATAGTTGCCTTAGAATCATGTTATGTGTTTTGGTTTCCAGTTTACATTTTAAAGGTTGTATTCTAGAGCCACTCCTGGGGTCTTATTAAACGCAACTTCTGCAGTCATAGGCTCAACTCCTTGCTGAGGGTGGGTAGCAAAAATCTCTCTGCCTTCCAGAAAGCATTTTTGTGCGAGTCAGTGAATTGGTACAGAGACTTACCTAGAACCTCCTCTTGTTTTCCGTGCTTTCTGATTCCATGCTGAGCCTTATTTTGATGCTGCTTTAGAAAAAGACTTTGTGTATATTCTTTATTTTTGATACCATGGCAATTCAAAAAGTGACATTTTTATTAGAAAAGGAAAACAATAGAGGGTGCTAGAGAGCTGTGAAAAGTGTATGGTAATACAATAAACATCATGAAAATGAGCTACTGGTAACTTGGAGACCGAGCACAGGACATTTCCACAGACGTAAATGCTCTTACGTTTTCATTAAGCCCTGTGAATCTACTTGAAATGTGTAAACAGGAAGAAGATCAGTTCTCAAGAGATCTCGGGAGCTGAAAAGGTGAAATTCAGATGTGAGGTTTCCAGGTGAGTGCCCCATCCCATTAGCCCACTCTCTCCTGAGAAGGTGAGGGTTAAAGCAGAAGCCTAGCTCCAGAGCCTCTGAGACTCTCTGGGCCAAGATCCAGACTGGATTTAAAGGATGATTCCATCTCCAGTGCTTTTCTTTAAAGCTGCTTGTTGGGAATTTGACAATTTTTCTCTCAGGCAGTTAACAGCAATAGAAGTTTTTGGGAGGTAAATGTAGGTTCATTGGGAGGTAAATGGAGGTTCAACAACCAACTGTGGGGAAATGTGGGATCAAAAATGCCAATTGGCGTGTTTGCGTGTATTTCAGCAGCAGCAGCAGCAGCTGGTGAAGGGAACTGGATGTCCCTCTCCCCACAGCTCCTGTTGCCTCTCTAATTTTTGCCCAGTGGTTGTGATCACTGGTCATTCCATTTGCTCCCTCTTTGAAGCTGATTTTAATTTTCATCGCCTCCCATGAAGTCAGACTGGGTTAGTGACATCCCTTATCCTACCTCCCTCCAGCGCTGCCTGCTCAGGCTGCGTAACGCAGCATCTGTCACCCTTGACTTTGTGAAAAAACTCCTGTGAAGTTAAAGTGCAGAGCGGACAGGAGCCCCTCATTTCTGCCTCAGAGATGCCTGAAAACAACAGTCCATGGGATTGCTGTGCTGTGCCGGCTGTCCGAATTCATGGTTTTCTCAGGCGCTGTGAGACTGTCACAGTTGTCTGGTCAGACCCACAGATGAACACAGGCTGGGCCAGTGATGTTCCTGCCAGTCCCCAGTGTCTGCTCCAGCTCTGTGGAGTGCATGCAAACAGTCGGGCTCGAGCATTTACACCAAAGAACGCTCAAAGGCATCAAAACTCACTGTTATGACACACTAACATCCAATAAACAGAAAGAATCTGCAGGCACTGCAGACACAGAAGGGAGGGAAGATTGAGTTCATGCTCATGTAGGTCTGATTCCATCCCAGCCTCTGGGAAATACCCAAACATACCCCAAACCTGAGAATAGGACCTTGTTGTGTGGTTACAGTGATCAGGAGATTGGGAATGGATGGCAGGACCAAGCCTTCGAACTATTCACTGTTTCTATTACAGAAGTTAAATTGATTATACTTTGTTTACCTTTTAAGTAGACCCTGTTTCCAAACGCAAATTCAATGTATCTGAATTCATTGACTTTCATTCCAGAACTGCAAGCTCTGTATAAATGCTAAATCACTGGTGAGGTGGAGGGGGGAGGCCAGTGGGGGCTGGCTGGGATTCTATAAATACGGTTATCACAGAGAGGCAACGATGTCCAGCCTGATGAAAACAGCCGAGACTGAATCCAACCAAGCTCCTGTACATTTGTCCTCCTCTCCTTCAAACATACATTGTGTTTTGCATCAGAACAACCACCGGCTTCAAAAATGACGTGACCTCTTCAATGTGCTGATCGTTTCCACATTTTGACAAATCTGTTCCACTGGTATCAATAAAAAGCTACTGTTCATTTGATTAATACTGAATATTTTTGGGTGTCATGAAACTCAATTTATAAATAAAACCTAATTGCATGCAAATTTATTAAAAGTGTTGCCCATGAGTGATAAAGCATTCCACACTGTTCCCCTGTGTCCTCTTTGATGAAAAGACCATCAGATTAGGGCTGTTACGTAGCCCTGAAAACACGGGGCTGGCTGAGAAAAAGATTTCATAGGTGAGCTTACTTCATCTCAGGCTTTAGGGTGTTTTTGTTGCAGAATCAACAGCTACTGGCCCTTGGTTACACTAAGGGCTTCCCAGGCAGATGCAGCAGTGTGTAAGTGCCTGAAAATCACAGTCAGCACCTTCCTCGTGCAGAAACGTAACCCAGATCTTTGTGTCGTGTGTGTCCTCTACCTTCAGGAGATCAAAGTGGTGTCTGAAGACTCTGAAGATAGCAGCCTGTGAGCTGTATAACTGTGTGGTGATTAATGTTTTACTCCAACTTTTTTTTTGCTTTTTTTGCTTTTTTCTTTTTTTGCTTTTTTCTTTTTTTGCTTAGTCTTTCCCACAGCAATGGCCCATCCACCACCAACGAGTCATTTTAGGGCTGATTGTGGAGTCCACTCTGTCATCTGTCAGACAAGTAATGATTCTTCCTAAGGCCACAGGTCCTTTGCCATGGGGAATTACAAGCCCTTAATGAAAGAGCTCTGCTTTCACTGGGATGATGGTATTTTCCTGTCTTCACTGCCTTCCACTGCTCTGTTCAAACTGCTGGAGGGCTCATGCGTTCACTGAAAACTGCCTGGAGCTTCCTGTTCTCGAGGCAGCACAGAGATTTCATTCTGATGGAGTTGGTAGAGGTGGTCAAATGTTTTTTCCAAGAGCAGTTCCCCCAAAAAACTCCAGCCTGTCAAAATTAAAACTTTTCTTTGTATACATTGTTTTTGATAGAATTTTATTGTATATATTTTAAGGGAAAGTCTTGATCTTGTCCCATGGGCTTCAAATATTGGTATCTGTCTTTGGTCACCATTCCTACTCAAAGCAAATGCCCTTTGTATCTGCTACGAGCTGTTGCCAGAG